GAAAAATAAAAAATAGGGTGCCTGGGTGGCTCAGTCGTTAAGTGTCTGCCTTCGGCTCAGGTCACGATCCCAGAGTCCTGGGATTGAGCCCCACTTCGGGCTCTCTGCTCCGCGGGGAGCCTGCTTCTCCCTCTCCCCCTCCCCCTGCTTGTGTTCCCTCTCTCGCTCTCTCTCTCTCTCTAATAAATAAATAAAATCTTAAATAAAATAAAATAAAAAATAAATAAAGTGCTCCAAATGCAGTGTGTCCAGAATCAGATCCATAACCTAGGGCCCAGAACCGCACCTTCTCCTCTCCTGCTCTGGCTAACGCTGCCTTGGCCGATGGCCCAGACGATGGCCAGTGGCTGGAGGGACACATCCGTAATCACCTTACAGCACACCTGCCTCCTTCTGGGCCTGCTTATCCCATGTCACTGACACAGATCTTAAACGCGATCTCATGCGGTGGTCTAGCTGTGGGCCCCAGGGCAGGTCCCGTGACCTTCTATAAGCTGCACTCTCATCTCCAAGAGAAGGATAACCCCCAACCGTGCAGGGTTATTATAAAGATCATCAGTAATACGCGTGCCCAGTAAGGACCTGGCATACACCAGGCACCTAATAAACAGATCATTGTTCCTGCCTCAGATGGGCTTTAGGACAAAATGGAGCAGCACCCTCGAGGGTACAACAGCAGGAAGGAAAGGTGTCACCTCCTCCTCTCTCTGCTCCTCCTCTGGCCATAAGGGTTTCATTTTGGGGCGCCACCTTTCTCACCCGCAGCATCACAACAGCGCCCTAACCAAGGCCAGGCCTGGAGCACACGCTCACCGGCCCATCACCTCCGTCCGACGGCACACACCTGCTCACAGAAACACGCACCCGGCCCCCTTCACAGGCGGCATCTCTCCGGCCCAGCGCCGGGCCACGCAGAGCCCTCAGCAGGACACCAGGCCCTTCCCCGCCTTCCCCACCTTCTCTCTCAGATTTCCCTCCTCTTTAAATTCCCACACCCAGGCCACAACACCAACTCTCAGCCTGTCTAGAATATTCTCCTACCACGTCTGAGGCCTACGCATTCTTCAAATCGTACCCCCAACATCATCTGCTGTTCAAATCTCCCCTGGACCCCGGAGTTTTCGTTGGTTTTCCCCAGGCCTTTGTGCAGACCTCACTCACAGCCTCTCACACACTGTATCCTAATGTGCTGATCTTGTTTCCAGTAGCTCCAACCCCACTGAAAGCCCAGAGGGCAAGGCACAGGCCTTAGCTGGTTAGCATTATTCCCTGTGCCGGACACAGGACCTACGCTCCAAACACACTTGATGGCATCTGTGAGAGGACCTCAGTATTGGTCCCGTGAAACGTGCCGTCTGCAGGACTGAAAAATCAATGTCACTATTAACTTAAGGTATTTCTAGAAACTTTCTGAGATTTCTAAAATCCAATTAATTCCAAAACATATCTCCAAGAGATTAAAAAATGCGGAGATAAAATTCATATAAATGCTCATACTGAAAGGTGTATCAGACCAAATTTCCAGTAAGAAAAAAATTAATGGAATCTCTATATAAAAATATTTTTAAAATCTAAAAAAAAATTTAAACATGAGAATCCCATTGTGTTCTCATCTTCAATAGCTGTAAAATAAAATCTAGCAAAAGCAGTCTTAGTTAATGGTAGAATATTTAAAGGTTTTCCTTCTACAAACGTATGCTTAATCTTGGTCGAGAAGAACAAAAGCAGAATATACTTACTGGCTATGCATATGGTTTTCCTTTTTAAAAAGCGAATTTAAAAAATTATTTCCTATTTTCAAATGCCCTGAACCTTTCTCAAAAACAAATTGTGCAAATTTACCTCCACTAATCATCACAAGGACTAACTTTACATTTTATATAATCCACAACTATTATCTGCAAAACTGCTATAAATGTACTTGACAAACAACACAGGAATAAAAAATATCGGTCTGGATAATGCAATCTGAATTTAAGTGTTTAAAATCGAGTCTATCATTAGAGAAAGGGAAGAGATAAACTGTAGCATTTGGTATAGAAGAACAAAGGCTAATTCAACTCTTTTTCAAGAATGTTAGAACATGTGATTTGTGTTTTTTAAATTCCAAATATAACTCGCTGTATTTAGCACCTCCTGTACTTTCCAGTATATTAGATAATTGCACACCAAGTTAAAAACAAAATAAAGGAAAACATTCCTGCCACCCTCCCTTTTCATAAAAGAGACGGAAATATCACACACACACAGAGCACCTTATAGGTCAGTATGAATAGCCCCAAAGAAAGTAGTTTTTTCTTCATTAAAAAATTTTTGAGGGTTTGGAGAACTCAGGGACAAGGGAGAGGGGAAAGGAGAACAGGGCGATTATGGGTTTTGGCAAAAGAGACTGGCTAGTAACTTCAGCCCCTGCTCTAGAGAGCCGCATGGTGCCTCGGTGGCTCTGGGCTCTGACCCCATCAGAGCGGCGCTACAGTTTTCTCTGTGAAGGCACTGAGGTTCTCAAGACGATTCTGTTTCAACAAAGGTGTGCATAACTTTAAAAAAAAAACCTGAAAATCACTCAGAAGGATAAACCAACATTCAGTGGATAATAACCATATTAACAGCTAGAAAAACAACAAAACAAAATGAACAAAAGTATTCAATATGGAAAAATGGTTTTAAAACGTGGCAAATCGCTAGGCAGCAGGAAAGACCGAAGTCTGCAGTCACTTCACCTTTGGGAATGTTTGTTTCTGCTGCTTCTGATCAGAGGTTCATTGGGTATATTGTTTGCTTAGGGAGGGGACACACAAGTTAAGCTTTTTCAACGTGGTTCTGGCAGGAAGACAACAGATGGTTTCAGCAAGGAACTGGCTGTGAACCCACAGCAAACGGCTGTGGTAAGGGAAGGTGCACTCAAGATGAGAGGCAACATCACTGGGTACGTTTGTTCAGGTGGACGGAAAGGCCACTAAATAATCCAGGGGGTGGGGGGGAAGACACATGTGTCCCACTGCGGAGATCTATAGAGAAAACTCTACCCTTCTGATTCTCAGCACCCAAATCCTCCTGTGCATCCACTTCCAAGCCAGTTAATACCATCAAAGATCAGAAATTAGTGCTTAACTACAGTAATTTATGAGAAAAGTCATTTTCTAAATAAATCATTTCCCATGCTTTGTTTTCTCTGATGTAATTGCTAAAAACCAAAGCCTCTCTGCAGGGAGATGGTTAAGTCGGGGTCCCCTGTTCCACCACTGTCCCCCTCCCCTCGGTCCACGGCATGACAGGCCCAGGCTGTGACACAGAAAAGAACAAATTTCGAGATCATCTAAGAAGACTCTATTAAATTTTTTTGCCTTACCAAAATGCTCGTAGCTAGTGAGAGGATGGGCGAGTTTCCCACTTGCCAAACTTTCTAGAATGCGAAAATTACAAGAGAATGTAATGGAGTCTTTCCACACTAAGACTCATTAATTTCAAAAGATGGAGATCAGAAGAAAAAACATTAGCATTTGCATTCTGAAAGCAAACTACAGGACTACACACTGATAAAAACAATCCTTTCCACTGGGTAAAAAACAAATTGATGACAAGATGAGAAATAATCATTTTAACCACTTTAGTAACATTTAGTTCCTAATATCCATGGACACTCTTTTGAAGGTTTAGAAATAAAAATGCTAGTTCATTTCAAATATGGGGAAGCCAAAATGTCAGTGTCCTACATACACCCTCTACACTTTGGGCCTTTCATTATTTGGTGTGCAGTTGGCCTCTTCATAGGATATTAAGAGCCACGATTCTAGTTTCTCTGCTACGGTGAGACCATGACAAGGGGGCATTCTACCCCTGCAGCAGAAGGCCGACAAGAGACGGACATGTGGGCATTCAGACCATCTACACCTGAGACGTGCATACCCGAGGGCTTCTCTCTGCTACCCTCTGGGACTTACCGACACACCAGGAGCTCCAGAGGTTTCTCAAAACAGGTAAAATGTAAGAGCTATGTACCAATGCTTTACAGAAATCCTAATTTCCTCAAAAGAGCTCATATAAAACATCTACAGGCATAAAAAGGAGGTTTCGGCAGATTCCAAAATGTCTTCTTACTCTGAAATTCATATCTGAAATAGACTAACCCACGGGCTAGATGTTTCAACCCTTCTTAGAATAAGACACAATATAAATAAAATTTAACATATCTATAACAGGTTTTGAAAGTCTATACCCTTCAACAAAATATCAAAAATCACTCTCTCTCTCCTCTTAAAATATATAAATACATTTTGCTTATGGCACATTTGTATATTCAACTCACTACTAAGCACACAACAAAAGCAAAAGAAATCACATTTACATTGTTTTACATATAACTTATTTTTAGAATATAAAATCTATCTCTCCCCAAAGAGTTCACCACACGTTGGCATTTTTCCTTTTCAATCTTGTGAACCAAAACCAAAACACAGTTCATCTCTGATGCATACAGAGATTTAAATCCTGGGTTCTTAAACAGTGAATTACTTCTGCTTCTCTTTTTAACCACCATGCAGTGTAAGAGGAGATGCAATTCATGACTTGTACCACCTGAGGGCACTCCTAAAATCTTTAAACAACTTCCAGGATCAAGTTCTATGAACGAGGAGGAAGGGAATCCAGTCCTACTTGAATTTCATGGGCTCGGTAGCGCCTTAAAACGTGTTTTAAGGCGCTTCAGAAAACGTGTTTCTTCGTACAAGGGCGAGATGATACATACACATGATTTCTATCCAGGGCATATTCTCGGAGCCTCACATCATGCAAGAAAAGCTGAGGTTCTAGAGCAGGAGGAGCGTAACTATCTTCAAAAGAGAGGGTTAAAAATTGACTAACATGAGATTATCCTTCTAGACCGTATGTTTATCATCAACAAACCAAAGCTTTGTTTTGAAATTCAAGAATTAACTTCAAATATATTTCACATTCACATACACAGGGCACTTCGAGAAGACAAGTAAACCCAGACGCCATACCTGTTTCCTGGGAATTCAACACCTCTAGGGCATGCATCATGGCACTTGCGAAGACATTGGCATCCTCCTTGCTGCCGAAGTTGAGGCCATACACCTGTCGAGCATCTCGCCACTGGTGGAAAGTCTGCGTAGCCTGGTTGTACTTCAAGCCCTTAGGGATGGCACAGTTTATCACCACCTGAAAGACAGGGATGCGCCACGGGGTCAACCTAATACTCAGCAGAATCAACACACCTTGCCTGGATGTACTCATTCAAACCTGTTCCTCACGGGCCTTGGCAAAAAAAAAAAAAAAAAAACGTTAAAAACCATTCTCTCGGGTAAAATCAGCCAGCAGAAATAACAGTCTGATGGAAGGTAAAGCTGTCTGATGTTACGAAGGTCTGGCCTTAAAACAGTAAATCAGCAGAACAACAACAAAATCGACACCCTCATTAAATATATTTTAACATGCTTATTAAAGTACTGTATTTCAGAAAACATATGAAACGTAAGCAGTGAACGGTCCCACGCAGCCAAAATCCTGATGCAGACAAAGGAATGTTAACGCCAGAAATTTCCTTTGTAAGTCCTTCACCTCCCCAAAGGCGCCGGCCACAGTTCCAGCATCAGTCAGTTGTCGGGCTTCTGAATTACGTGAGCGGAGCTACACGGTACCTACCATCAGTGCGTGCTCTCCATTCCTCAGGACTGTTCGTGCGAGTCAGCTCTCCGTCGCACGCAGCTCTGGTTTATTCTTTTTCACTGCTCTGTGGTGTTCCATCGTATCAACCACGCTTATTTACCCATCCTCCCATTCGAGAACATTTGCAGTGCTTGCAGTTTGGCGCTATTAAAAACACTGGTTATGAACATCCTACTAAAGTTTTCTGCTGCACACGGGCACCCATTCTGCTGAGCGTATACCCAGGAGTGGAGTTGTCACAGGCCAAAGACGTGCTCAACTTCAGCACACAACTCCAAGTAGCTTTGCAAATTGGTTCTATCAATTTTCACTTCCATGGCAGCATACAACAGCCTGCGTAAGCACACATACAACATTTCAACTGCAGTTGTCTGCCTTTATCTGAGCACTTCTGGTAGGTATGAGAACCATACCACCGTGGTTCCAGCCGCATATATCCCTGATTACTAATGAGATTTAGTACTGTTCCATGTTCTAACGGCTATGTGGATATCTTCTATGAACACCGGCTTAAATTAAATCTCTTGCCTGTTTTTCTACTGAGCTGTTCATCTTTTTCTCTGCTGATTTGGAAGAGTCTTTTATACATTCTGGATAACACCGCGGGTTATCCAGGCTGCAAATACCTTCTCCCAGGGTGCAGCCTGCCTTGTCACTCCCTGAACGGTGTCTTCTGATGAATGCAAGTTCTTAACTTTTATTCAGTCCCAAGTAGTGATCTTTTCCTTTCATTGTTAATGCTTTTTGTAACTTGTTTAAAAAGTGCTTCTCAATTCCAAGACCATGAAAATATTATCCCATACTATTTTAGGAGCTTTACTGTTTTACTTTTATAGTTACATCTCCTAATCCACCTGGAAAGTTTAGCCTCTGGTGTGAAATAAGGTTCGAGTTTCCTTTTCATTTCAATATGGCCATCCGATCAATCCAGCACGATCTATTAACTATGCTGTGGGCTTACTTTTTTAATAAATCAAGTGTCTAGATGGCTCCGTTTTGTTCTACTGGTCAACATGCCTATCTCTGAGCCAACAGCACAGTGTCTTAAATTACTGGAGCTCTATCCTAAACCTTGACTGCCCCTAGAGTAGTCGTCCTGCCTCTGTTGTTCCTCACTGTTGCTGTGGCTAGCCTCAATCTTTTGTGTGCAGCTACAGTTTTATATTCAGATTATTAATTCTGCATGACTTACACAATCTGCCTGTCTCTGCTTCTCAGTGGAGGGTTCAGTCCATTTACTATGTTTCACGTAAATTATATACAAATTTGGGCCTAACTCCATCCCTTCTTTGAGAGTGTATTATTATTACCCTTCTCCTAGCTTGCTAGTTGCACAAGCTTTCACTGCCCTGGAGAGTAAGACAGGCATCAACGCCTCACTTTATACAACAGACGACCACTGAGGACTTGCCCATATTTACACCTGCTGCTGCTTTTTATTCCTTCTGCCCTTTCCAAGCTTCTGATCGTGAGGAACACATTTCAGAATTTCAATTTCTTTCGATGTAGATCTCGTGATGAATTCTCTCCATTTTTGTCTGTCAGAAAATGTCTTTAATTCACCTTCATTTTCGAAGAGGATTTTTATTACGTGGGCCACTTGTTTTCTTTCCCGCCCGCTGTCTTCTCAGTTTTTGCTGCTTCTGCTGAGAAGTCAGCCGACCACTTGCTGCAGCGTCCCCAAGCTGTCTTGTCTCCACTGGCTGCTCACAGGTCTCACACTGCATTTAGTTTACAAGGGTTTCATATGATGGGTTTATATATGGTTTTCTCTGTATTTATCCCACTTAAGGTTTACAGCATTTCTAAGTTGATGTTCTATTGTTAACTTGTGAAAATTCTTTTCCATGACCTCAGTTTTTCTTCTGTCCTAGTCTCTCCTCTCCTCGTGCCTCCAATTACACATATACTTTTCACTACATCCACAATCTCTTTTTTCTCTTAACTCCCTTCATCTTTTCCACCACCCCTCATCCCTCCCCTCTGGCAATGCCCCATTTATTCTCTGGATTTATGAATCTATTTCTGTTTTCTGTTTTTGTTTTTTAGATTCCATGTGTAAGTGAAATCATACGGTATTTGTCTTTTATTTCATTTAGTATCATAACCTCCAGATCCATCCATGTTGTTGCAAACAGCAAGGTTTCATTCTTTTTTATGGCCGAGTAATATTCTACCGTGTACACACACATCTTCTTTATCCATGTGTCTATCAGCAAACACTTGGGTTACTTCCACATTTTGCCTATTGTAAATACTGCTGCAATAAATATAGGGGTGCATATACCTTCTGGAATTAGTTTTTGTTTCCCTGGGTTTTTTTGTGTCCATATTTTTCCTCTCTCAGAATTTCTTAGTTTCAGTTTGAATATTTTCTTCTTCTTTTGGGGTCGGGGGCAGAGGAAGAGAGAGCATCCTAAGCAGGCTCCACCCCCAGCACAGAGCCTGATGCGGGGCTCCATCTCACGACCCCTAGATCACAACCTGAGCCGACTGTGCCACCCAGGCGCCCCTAAACATTTTCTTCTGACCTATATTCCGTTTACTGCTTCTCTTCAGCTGTCCCTAGTCGGCTGTAAAACCCACTAGCATGTTAACAGCACTGAGCTTCCAATTCTGAAATTTCCATGTGTTTTTATTTTCAAGTTTCTATTCTCTGCTGAAATTCTCAACCTTGTGCTAGTTCCTTGAATATGTAAAGCAGAGTTACTCTAAAGTCAATTCTGGATTCCCAGTGGGTCTGTTCTGTTACCACCCCTCTTGCCTCCTCACAGGCCTTGTGATTTTGATTTCATGCCAGACGCTGTGTGTGGACAACTCTAGGGAAATTGTGAAGCCTACAATGACGTTATATTTTTCCGGGGAAGATTCACCCATTTGCTTCGGGCAAGCAGCTAGGTAAACTAACAATCAAATCACCTTAATCCCAGAATGAATGAAGTGATTAGAGGCTGGGTATCAGATCCTGTAAAGACCAGCCTCATTCTGAGGCAAACCTCCTCCCAGGGTATGGGGCTCGGGGGTCCCGAATTGTGGCCGAGGGCTACCAAGAAAACCCTCCTCCTGAGCAGGCTCTAACTCCGAGCTCTTGTTCCACTAGTCCCAGGAATCCGCCAAAAGCTCTGCTCAGTCCCCTCCTTCAAAACTGAGACGTGCCTCTAGGTAAATAGAGGTCCGAAGCTGGGCTCACTTCTCTGGTTCTCTCTTCTTGCAGATTATGGACCCATAATTCATTGTCATGTAGGCTCTCCAAACATTTTCCTCGTTATTGTTCTGTCCAATTGTGTTAGTTCTCAGAGAGAAGCTGTCTACCAATACCCAAACTTGAAATTATTTTTAAATAAGATGACCTCTTAGAGACATTATGCCAGACACAAACTGACAAATACTGTCGGACTCCACTAATCTGAGATACCTACAATAGTCAAATTCATTAAAAACAACGGGTGGAATGAAGGTTGCCAGGACTACGGAAGAGCAAACGGAGACTGTTTCACGGGTTCAGTTTCAGCATGGGAGGAAGACGGACAGTGGGGATGGTCGCGCACCCGTGCGAGTGAACCTAGTATGACTGAACTCTACACTCAGATGGGTAAAATGGTCGATCTTACGTGATGTATATTTTACAATTTAAACAATGATGACCTCTTGTCATGTGATGTTTGTACATTTCAGAGTGGGGGCCACAAATCATCATCAGAAAACTATAAGCCCCGTTTGAAGGTGGATCTATATCCCTGCTTGGCAAATAATCTGAAAAGGTCGGGCAAAAACAGCGACATTCCTTTTATCAATCGTTCAGCAACAGAATGTTAGAAAAGAGGAGGAAAATGTTACTTAAATATTATGTACATCACTAAGTTCACTTCCTCCATGGGGAGAGACTGAACATGTTGATTCAACTACTTCATTCATTTCTAACTTTCAAGGATAGGCAGTACTGTACATAATCTCAAGAAACTTAATTTTTTATTTATCTTTTACATTTTATTAAGTAGGCTCCATGCCCAACATGGGGCTTGAACTCATGAACCTGAGATCAAGGGTCGCAGACTCTACTGAGCCAGCCAGATGCCCCTCAAAAAACAAAAGTAAAAGGGAAAGCAGATATGTTCACATAAGACTAACTGCTTGCTGGAGGTCCACAAGGGATGCGACCAGATTTGGACTTGATCATCATCCTCAATACTTCCCATCCAATGAGGCTGAGTCTGGATGAATGGTAATGTTCTATCCTCCATGTGCTCACCCACTTCCAGCCACATCCTAGCAGAGCAAACCATGCACCGAGCATCTATTCTTCCTTGTCTTCTTGGCTCAGTATCTGATCCTGTCTATGAAGTCATTCACGACCCTCCCTCCCCATCTTCTCAACAAAATGAGGGTTCCTGTATGCTGCACTGTGCTGCGAATTACATTTACCATAACTGAAACAACTCCTTCTTTACTGCAGCTTTCTTTCAAATGTAAGCACGGTGCTTAGAACATAATATGCACTTAGTAAGTGTTAAGCAAAAAAAGGGGTGGGAGAATATTTTAATATGTATGTACGCAATATGTGTGCATTCAATCTGAAAAATAAATGGGGATGATTTTTTTTAAATGGCTCTCACTACAAAAAATTTAGATATTATTTAACAAAGTATAAAAACATGTTTCCACTTAAAACAGACCGATAACCATTAAAAAATGTAACAAGGTAGCAGTGCCCGGTGGCTCAGCCAGTTAAGCATTCAACTCTTGGTTTTAGGCTCGGGTCATGATCTCAGGATCGGGTATCGAGCCCCAGGTTGGGAATCCACGCTCAGCAGGGAGTCTGCTTGAGATTCTCTCTCTCCCTTTCCCTCTGCCCCTCCCCCTGCTCCCTCTCTCTAAAATAAATAAATCTTTAAAAAAATCAAAAAAGGTTAACAAGATGGTCTGGAATGAAAGGAAACCAATTAGGGGCGCCTGGGTGGCTCAGTTGGTTAAGCATCTGACTCTTGATTTCAGCTCAGGTCATGATCTCAGGGTTGTGGGATCAAACCCCCCATCAGATTTTCTCTCTCCCTCTGTCCCTCCCACCCCCAAGAAAGAAGGAAAGAAAAGAAAACAAGCCAATCATTTATCAGATTTATTCTTAGGTACATTATCATTTTTGATACTTTAAAATATCTTTATAAAATACCCACACAACACAGGTTTAAACTGTAGGATCCACTTACATACGGACATTTTTTTGAAACAATCCAGTGCTGTAAATGTATGTTCTCTTCCTTATGATTTTCTTAATAGCATTTTCTTTTCTCCAGCTTACTTTATTGTAAGAATACAATGCCTAATACACATAACATACAAAATAACGTGTCCATCAACTGTTTATGTTATCGGTGAGGCTTCCGGGTAACTGCAGGCTATATTAGCAGGTAAGCTTTGGGGAAGTGGAAGGTTAAACATGGACTTTCAACTGCACGGGAGGTGGTGCCCCCAGCCCCCATGTTGTTCAAGGGTCAGCTGTATTTTCAAATTGTTTATTGCTAGGTACACAAAAATGCTACTGATTTTTATAAACTGGTCTTTTATCCAGCAAACATGCTCAACAATCTTATTAGTTCTCATATCTCATCTGCAGATGCTCCTGGGATTTTTTATGTAGACAACTGCATCACCAGGGAATAAGGTCAGCTCTGTTTCCTCCTTTCCAAACCGTAGATTCCTTCATCTTCCTATCACTAGGTTACCTCCCCCTCTGCACTGCTAAATGCAAATGATTAAAGCTGAAATCCCCAAGTAATTCCCAAGTCTCATGGTAATCCCTTCCACCATTACACTATCTGGTAAGATGTTGGATGTATGTTTATACTATGCATCCTTTTTTTTTTTTTTAAAAATTTTATTTATTTATTTGAGAGAGAGAGAATGAGAGATAGCACGAGAGGGAAGAGGGTCAGAGGGAGAAGCAGACTCCCCGCTGAGCAGGGAGCCCGATGAGGGACCTGATCCCGGGACTCCAGGATCATGACCTGAGCCGAAGGCAGTCGCTTAACCAACTGAGCCACCCAGGCGCCCACTATGCATCCTTATTAGCATAAGAAAATTCATTTTTATACCAAATGTGCTGAAAATTATTATGTATGGATTTTATCAAATGCTTTTTCTGAATCTCTTTTTATAGGCTTTTCCTGGTAAATTACGTTAATTAATTATCTAATGTTAAACTAGCCTTACATTACTGAGATGGAGACAAACCTTATTTGGTCAAGAAGTGGTAATTTTTTCCATACAGATTGCTGCATTAGGTCTGCTAGTATCTTACTGAGGACTTTTATATCTGTATGTCAATGCTCATACTGAGGCTGGCCTATAATCTTCCTCTCTCAAACTGTTCTATGTTGCAGGTATCAAAATTATACTAGCCTCATAAAATACTATTCTTTATAACCGTCTGTATAAAACAGGTAATATCTTAAAGGTTTTTAGATTTTGTTTGTAAAGCTCTGGACACCCTCCCTCCTTGTTTTGTAGATTTTGGGGGCAGACTATTAATTATTGATATATTTTATGATTGTCGGTCTGTTTTTCTATTTTTCTGCCAGCCTTGGTAAATTATATTTTCTACAATATGACCCATTTCTTGGCTAAAGCTGGTCATAATATTTTTTTAAGATTTTTATTTATTAATTATTTGACAGAGACAGCGAGAGAAGGGAACACAAGCAGGGGGAGTGGGAGAGGGAGAAGCAGAAAAGCTGTTCATAATATTATAATTGATTTCCTTACTATAATTGTAACAATCCTAATACTATTTGTAACTTTTCATTTTTTGTGTGATTCTGCCAATTTTTCCATTCAATTAAATGCTTTTGTTAATAATTTCCATTTCTTTTTTAGTTATTTAATATCTCCTTTTATTTTTAGTTATTTTATTATTTATTTTATCTCCTTTATTTTCCTCCTGCTTTCTTTCGGTCAAGCTCATTACATGCCATGAAGATTTGTCCATCAAAGAGCAGCTTAGACGTTTTACCGGTTTCTACATGTAACATCCACTCACTACAGTTGAAGTCTTTTATTTTCTAAACACTTTTTAATCTTCATAATGATTTCATCTTAGTGTCACAAATTATTCAGAAGGTTTTTTAAAATTTCCAAACATTCCAAGAAACATTCCATTTGTCAAAACCTAGAAGTCATAGTTTACTTATGAATAAAAATTTCAGTGTTTCATATGAAAATTTCCTGACATCTAATTATTTTTTTCATTCATTCAGGCATAACTGATACATAACATTATATTTATATAATATCCAGGTGTACAACATAATGATTCAATCTAACTATTTTTAAATAGTCATTTTCTGCCAACATTCAGATACTTTTAGGGTTGTTCATCAGTACTATGAAATGACCAATTCATCAAATTTACCAAAAATATCTTATTGGTTTGACATGTTGTATTAAAAATGTTGAGCCATTTCTAGTAAGTTTGAGTTGTGCAGTCTTCACTTTCTTCTCTGTAATAGCATCTTTGGGAGTGTCTGATCTGTCTCGGGCCTGACTCATGTGGGGACACAGTGCCAGAGGGAGAGCCCTCTGCAGCACCTGGATTCCCAACCAGCAGCGAAGGGTCCCGGTACACAGACTGGGGACCAGAGAAGGGCTGCACAATGGGGCGGAGAGCAGGAGGGGGAGACCAAGGAGGGAAAGAACAGGGCAGGGTGGGGTTCAGCATGGCCAACAGAGGGAGAAGGGACCCTGCAAAGGCAGGAAGGGGGACAGGCTGGGCAGTTTGCATTAAGCGGGGAAAGTGCTCTACGCGGTACGACTCCGCACTGCATGCGTTTCTGCAAGGTGTCCCAGGAGAGTCACCAGTGTCTGTTAATTTCTGGACCACGGTTGTGTAAATGAAGTTGGAGGCTCCCATCTTTCAGAAAGCCACACACGCCTTTGCCTCCCAGGCTGACGGTGTGCGCGCTGCAGTGGAGCCCCACCCCGCACACAAACTGTGGTCTCAGAGCCCGACCGCTCACAGGCCCACCGTCACCGCACGTACCCATGACAAACCTGAGTCCCTAGGTGTTCGCAGTTCATAACCGCCACCCTAAAACACAGGGCTGCTGCAGCGTCCAGCTGCACACGACACCTCAGGGTGTCCCAGTGGAGACCTCTTTCTTCAGTTAAGGGCTCAGCTGGAAATTTGTTCCATTTTTCCTGCATGTGGCTAACACTGGTTGATTCCACCATCTTTTTTTAAATTTTTTAATAATTTTTTATTGTTATGTTAATCACCATACATTACATCATTAGTTTTTGATGTAGTGTTCCATGATTCATTGTTTGTGCATAACACTCAGTGCTCCACACAGAACGTGCCTTCTTTAATACCCATCACCATTCCACCATCTTACCGGAACCAAAAGTATTTCATAAAGCTGTCCTTTAGAGAAGTTCTTGCTGCTATTAGCACATACTTAATGCTAGTAAGACCCCATCTACATTTTCCTCTATCTACTGCTCCTGGTCTGTTAAGGCCCAAGGAATCAAGTCATCTGATAAATTCAGTGACCTTTCTGAGAAATTCAGGTCAGGGAATTAATAAAAGCTTAGTTTTCATCCCAGATAGGCATCACAAAAGCCTAACTATTCCAACAACCTTAATACCTACAATTTTTCTATCATACACGAATTCAACAGTATTTTCTGAAACTATTTACACTTTCAACTCCTTTCTCTAGCCCCACACCTTCAGCAGGAAATCAATTCCTTAAACATACAATCTGCTCCTTAAGTGGTATTTCACATTTTTGTTTGTCCTAAATTTACTTTAGATTCCCAAACCTAGTTAGCTGGCAGGCCAGAAGACCTCATGCATGTTCATAATTTAAAGTCTTACTTATATTTTTGTGCAATTAGCTCTAAATCCTCACCCAAATTCAGGCCTCCTAAAAGGGGGAAAGGGTGGGAAGGCAAACCGGTACCCAGTTCTCCCACACAATATATGCTGACTGCACCAGCAAAGCACGACTTCGGTTTACTATTTTACATGTCCTTTTGTAACTCTAGACAACTTTCAATAAGGATTTAGCAGACCCTTACCTGATGGTCCTGAATCTTCCTGCCCACCACTCGGAACGTGTTGTTGCCTGTGTGGTGGTATATGTGAACCCTGCTGAACCCAGCTGAGCCGCCAGCTGGTACCCACTTCTTGTTGGCGTCATCATAAACCATCACAGCAGCTCTTGCCTGACAGATACTCTGTTCACTGCAAAAAATAAAATACGCAAACTTAAGATATTTGAAATATGCTAAGTTTCCCAAACAGCTATATAGAGTTAGCCAACAATCAGTGCTTTCCTGGGTGCTGGAACAAGAAAGACAGCGGCTTCCTGCCTTTATGGGCAGAGTCTGATGGGGAGAAGAGACCAAAAACTGAAGCGTGATGAGGGACTGGAGGAGGTCCGGATCCGCGAAGAGCAAAGAGAAAGCAACACGAGAACTGTTTTCTAACTGAATACATTGAGTATCTAATACACTCATGAAACTGAATACAACTACAAGTATAAATTAACCATTATTTGTTCAACTGGACATCTGTTTATAATACTGGTGACCTGTGATTACCCACTCTTTACTGGCCAAGAGTAGTTTTACCATCAGGCTTGCTTCTAGGTCTACAAAACAAATTCTGATAAGCTCTATCTTCCCCTTGAAACATGGAGTGGCCACTAACAATCAATGGATGTGGCAATGGGACTAAGTCCCTGTTTCCACTTGGGCAAGACAACATCCTATGTCCTAAATTTCTTCATGTAAAAATGAGATAATTTCTAAAGATCCTTCTAGAGTTTTAATTCTAACCTTCATAGACAAATATTAAAGGAAAGGCTATTTCTATGCTAGAATCTAAATCTCAGCTTTACTTCAACTATTTGTTACCAAGTAAGACTGAGATACAGAAATAAAATGTAGAGATGGATCCTAATTTCCCATTAAGTACTAGGTTCATCTTTTAAATACTCTATACCACTACTAGGGGAAAAAAGACTGATTTGAGGGGCGCCTGGGTGGCTCAGTGGGTGAAGCGTCTGCCTTTGGCTCAGGTCATGATCCCAGGGTCCTGGGATTGAGCCCCGCATCGGGCTCCCTGCTCAGCGCTTTATCTCTCTCTCTGTCAAATAATAAAATCTTAAAAAAAAAAAGGCTGATTTGAATTTTATTACTTCATACCATATCTTATTTTTAAAGAATCAAATACCAAGAGTGAGCAACAAAAGAAAACAGATATGTTGTGCTGACCCAACTAAAATAACACAATCTCCACAGTGAAGACTTATCTGATGCTTAAAGCAGAAGTTAATGGAGATACCCCCAAGTAGCTCATCCAACCTCATCCTTAACAAAAGCACCACTCATCTACCAATTTTAGCCTCAAAGATTTTAAACAACTAATCATGTGGGTTCTTGGCCAATGTCCTCAAAAACAAAAAGTCACTTTCAGGCCCTCCCCTCTTCCTCACACTCCTGCCCCATCCCTCAACAGCCTGTGGTTTACTCTTGTCATGTGACTTGATGACAGAAGAACAGGGGAGACCCACAAGGGTCATAGCACTGAGCAACACGGTCACTTCAGAACATCATTATTTCTAATTTTCCATCAGAGAAGCTTTACAAAAACTAACTCGTAACAATATTTTTGCAGCACACACACTGAAATAGAGTGGTACTGTCTAAATTTTTATGTTGCACTGAAATTTCTTGGTAAACTAGTCCTGGGAATAAAAACAAGTTAATGACAAAAGCTTGAATTATTTCTAAATTAAGATTAAAGAGCATTTGTCAGCACAGAAGTTGAAATCTCTTCATCACTCACAAGAGAAATACTTGTGAAGTGACAGCATTTTCTGGACCTCACACAAAGATTATGTGAAACAAGCTAAGGCAAAGTGCCCCTTACGGCATATCATCCAAGAAAATCTACTACTAATCGTAAATAACAGTATTTTCCAGTTGTAAAAAAAATTAGTATTTTGGACACATGTTTCCTAAGATTCATAATACAATGTCTCCTCCAGAAGTCCCAGTGGGATTATAGAAGCCAAAGCAATAAACCCCCTTTTGCTGTAAATTAAGTCATTCCATGACTAAAAAAACCAAACCAAACCAAAACAAAAAAACCTTTTAAATACACATAGGAAATCTAAAACCAAGAGAATTAGACATACTGTCCCCACTTTTTCCTCCATTTTTCTCCACCATTGCTCTGGAGTGGGCTGCTGGAGACATTCCAAATAGTGAAGCACAGTTAACTCAACAGCTTTAACTAATCCTTGATTAATCAAGATACATACAAACTACTTAGCAATCAAATGTCTGGTCACTTCCATTTCCCTGGGAAAGCTATCACCACAGAAACAAAGACAAAGGGACACATCCAAGCAGTCAAGAGAGGACACAAATGCCAAAATTAGTTGACTAGTTTTCTAATGAAGATGAAAAGAAATTTTCAAAATGAGATGCTAAAAATACAAACCCAGCTCTAAGCGAAGCCAAGAAGCACAAAGAAAAGCCAAAGATTAAAGAGAAGGAAAAGTAACAAGGCTGTGTGGCAAGCTGTGAGGGACAGGTTATGCCCAAATAACTGTCATCCTAGAAGCCACAGCAATGCCCAGACAAGAAGGGACAGCACTGCCACCTGGGATCCTCAGTGACAAATGCAAGCCAAGTCCTTCCAATTCCATTCCACAGCACCTGAGGACCTCTCCTCAGTAGACAGACATCTGTGTTGTAATAGAAATTATCTGCTCTTGGTCTCAGCTCCAGGCACAGAGATCCTAAAACCCCTGGGATCTCCCAGGCAGTAAGAGTGTCTCGGGTGTGCTAATCAACAGCTCTATGCTTTAAGATGGGGACTGGCTACCAGAAATACCACGCCATACTTAGAGGGTGGAAGTTTTCAGTTCCAACCTACCCCTCACCTCTGGGGAGGGGAGAAGGGCCAGAGATCGGGTTCACTCACCAATGCGCAATAGTGTCCTCCATCATGCCTACATAATGAACCCTCCATCAAAACACCCCAACGAGCTCACACCGCAGGGCTGGCGGGGTGGCAAGCCGGTTGAGGGCATGGAGGCTCTGTGCTTGCCCCATATTTCGCGCTGTCTTTTCCACCCGGTTGTTCCTAAATTATATCCTTTACTGAAAACAAACAAACAAACAAAAACAGTAACAGTAAGCAAAGCAGTTTTCTGAGTTCTAGGAGTTGTTCTAGCAAATTACTGAACCTGAAGGGAGGTGGTAGGAACATCAGAATTTGTGGTCAGCTGGGCATTAAATGTGCAGGTAGCCTAAGTACCCCATCGGCAGCTGGTCCCTAAAGTGGGGCCAGTCCCAGGGGGACTGAGCCCTTAACCTGTGGCAGCTACGCTAACTCCAGAGAGTCAGTGTCAGTTGGTACTGGAAAAAAGAAGTGGCGGTTGGTGTGAGAAGAAAACCACACATATGCCAACTCTGATTACAGGTGCGCATAAAACAGGCCAGTGGCGCCTAGTTTTGGATTTCATGAACCCACAGACTTCAAAAATAGGCTGCAGGAATCAATATAGAACTGGTTGGAAATATTTTGGTCTACTTGCCAGGGAGGGGGTGGGGGAGGGAGGAAACACGCGTCAACTTACTAAAATGAGGATACTTTGGAATTTAAAAATCTCAGAATAAAAATAATTGTAATGTAATGTAATGTAATGTAAATGTAACAACTAGCTTTCTCTAAAATTCTCTACGTAGGCCACTTCCCCCCATTTCTCCCTGGTCCCGGTGAAATACTTAACAAGGGCCTTAAAGTAAGACTAGCCTTGGTCCCAAAAGAGCCACCTGCATACTGGGGTGTGTACGAGCGATGGAGTGATGACAGACAGCTTACAGGTTCTTCTGATAAGAATTTCCAGCTTCCTTTAGGATTTTTAGCTGAGAAAGTCAACAGGTGAGCTTGCAAACAGCTGAAATTATATAGATATGCGCAGTTTCTCAGGGAAAAGTGAAATGGAAGGCAGGCAAGATTTAAGTACCACAGCTACTGAAGAGTCAAAAAGAAACAAAAAATGTTTAAGAAAATGCAGATCTAACACAAACAGCAAAAGAGACAAAAATGTTATGATCCTCTAAACAGCCTATCTGCATTATAATAAATCTGAAAAATAAGAGCTAGTCAGTCTTCAACATTCTGAGTCAGTAAAGGAACTGCACACGAGATTAAATTAGTAAATTACTATATAGTTTTGTGAAGATCAGGAACGAAATCAGTTTCATTTTATGACCAAATGCCATTGGTACACATGGCTGACTATACTTCCTCTTCCTGATATTAATTCTGATCTTTTATTTACTGCCCCACGGAGCCTCACCTGTGGTAAACTTCCCAGGTCTGCACACCTCTACTATATTACCAACCACCGGAGAATTCGCATCTTGTCTGTTGTGATACTGAGTCATTCCACAAACTAAGATGTAATTCAGAAGATAAAATATTAAATAAAATTACACAAGAAAGCTGGGAATTTTAAAGATAGGATTTCCATCTTATGCACTGATACCAACTTTTGATCAGGTTTGAAATTTTATAACATTCCAAGCATTAAAGACACTTAGAGTAAAACCGTGTTAGATTTCAATTCAATCCCACAGACACTGCTCACACCTGTAGTGCACAGCTCCTGGGACACAGAGTGAACAGAGCCAGGCCATCTAGTTATAAAAGATTATGCACCCCAACTGGAATAAACACATATTTTTCCCAAATAGGAAGTAAACAATAAATAGCGTGTTCTATATGGTGTAAAACGCTCACAGAATCACAAATCACACTCAGTTCACCACTGCGGGATCTGGCCACCCTGCAAACCAGGGGTCATTCCAGAACCTCCCGCCACCCCCACACCCTCATCTGCCCAGGCCCTCAACTAGTCACCACAACCTGCCAATCCTAATTTCTCATGACTTTCTTCCTTCCTTCCTTCCCTTTCCTTTCCTTTCCTTTCCCTCCCTCCCTCCCTCCCCTTTGCTTCACAATGCTCAGAAGCTCTGGGCCCTCCCTAGTTTTTTACTGGATTATTTCACCAATCTCCTAACTGGTATTCCTAACTGCAATCTTACTCCCTCCCCCTTTTTCTAAGTCAAACTGGATCATGTCACTCTCCGGGTGAAGACATTCCAAAGACTCATTTCAGGATAGACTCTGGCTTCCAAACACGGCAGACAAGGTCCACTGTCTTCCTTAATATCCTATCTTTCTTTCAAATACTTATTGACGCGTGCCGGTACCATTCCAGCATCCTAGTGCTGGGGGCACGTCAGTGCTCCGAACCTCCAAACCCCAACACCACAGTGACGATTATGCCATACTTGTCCATACGTCCACACCCTGCCCTGGCCTTTCCCTCCACCCATCTGCACGCTTCCTCTTCCCCAAATACCTTCAGCCTAACACTCAGCCATCCCCCACATTTTAAACCCAAGTGTCACATCTTTTTTTTTTTTTAAAGATTTTATTTATTTATTTGAGAGAGAATGAGAGACAGAGAGCATGAGAGGGAAGAGGGTCAGAGGGAGAAGCAGACTCCCCGCCGAGCAGGGAGCCCGATGCGGGACTCAATCCTGGGACTCCAGGATCATGACCTGAGCCGAAGGCAGTCGCCCAACCAACTGAGCCACCCAGGCACCCCAAGTGTCACATCTTCTTGAAAGCTCTTCCTGCCCCCCACCCCAAACAGAACTCATTCTCTGTGTTCTCACAACACACTCCGCACATCACCTCTCCACCGGCGCCATGTTAAACCCCTGCAGGGCTGCCACTGTATCTTTTCTTCTCCCCTCATGAAGACTGGTTAAAGCAGTGAGAGACAGTAACTGCAAGAAGTAAAAAGACTATCTGCCAGCTTTGAGTAAGAACCCTAAAATATGCCAGGGAAAGTCCCCTTTCTGACTTCCAATGTCCCAATGGACAACCATCAATACCCAACCTTAACACCAACATTAGCACTCAAAAGCCATGGCCCTACGCTCCTGTGCCCCCAGCAGCTGGCCAGTGCACTTACCAAGAGTCATCTGCATTTGTGACCGAGTGTGTTCACTCTGTGCAATTTACCGAACTGATACCATGTGAGTGTACAGAAATTCTATGAAATTAGGTTTGGTGTTTTGGAAAGTTTCTCCCAAGGTCAGAGTCACCAAAGAGCTGTGAGCCACACATAAAGGGTGGAGGGCTCGGCCAGGTCTGGTGAGGTCTACAGTCAGAAGACGTCGTGTGCGTCTCCGTTCTCCCTCCACTTCCAAAAAACCAAAGCTGCAACTCAAGATAAGGCACAGGGCACGGGCCTGCCTTGGGAAAGAAAAATAATGTAGAATTCTCATCACCACACCAACAGTAAAGCTTACCAGTACAAGGCTACAGAATTAACACGTATACTACAAAGGAGACTGAAGCGTTTAAAGGCATTAATCATTTTTAAGGACACTAAACTTGAACGAGTTCTCTGACCCAACCTTCACGACCAGGACAGGTCACACCATATTTGAGGGCTTCCACTACGGGGCACATTTATGAAATGCTGATGAAGCTTTTCTCCTTCATATTCCATCCAGGAAAAAAAAAGAACCACCTTACTAAGACTCAGAAGGAAAGTTGCCTGCTAGTAACAGGTGCCGCTGAGGGACCCAGGAAGGAGGTGAATGCTGACAAACACAGACACAAGGAAGGGCCGTGGACAATCTGTTTTCGGCAAGAAAACCATCTGGGAGGCAGCAGCTCCACACATGTAGAAAGGCAAAACTTCCCGTAAAGACCACATAGGCGTACACCACTCTTCTAAGAAATACTAAGGTTAAAAAGGGAAAACATCAACGTGTCACCACTAAACCCTTCATCCCACAACATCTATGTTCATGTGTGAAGTCCAAATGCGTTCTAGTATAATAACTGATCCACAGTCACCATAGGAAATGATCAGTCTCTCTAAAGCAAAACAGCATGTTTTAGAAAATGTTTCAGCAAATTTGTTAGGTTATCCTGTAGGATGAAAGAAAAATCTCTTAAAATGGGGAGAAACCATTGAGTTGGATAAAATGTAGAAAAAGTACCTTCGAGGAGGCACTCACTGCGTGCAGCTGTGTGTGTTCAGAAGTAAGGACGGCAGCCCCCAAAATCCCTATGGACTATCTGGCTTTAATTACGACTAGCTCTTACTTGAGCAAGTCTAGAACGTGCATGATCCTATCAATGCGACAAGAAGAACCCGGCTAGGTCCACAGCGTAGCTGGAGAGAGAGGAGCGGCAAAGTGAATGAAACGGCCCAGCTCTGGGAGGAGGGAGCAAGGACGGGAGTTAGAGGAAGGAGTCCGTGGGGAGAGAAGAAAATGAAGCTGAGCTGCGCCGATGTCATGGGAGCAGCCGGACGGGAAAGAGCCTGGATGGGAGCCTGCCTCAGCGCACCACTCAGGCTGGGCACACGGAAGGAGACCCGGCCTCGCTGCGAAGGAGCGCAGGCAAATTCAAGCCCTCTTGCCTTCCCCGGGGTGCACAAGATGACTAGGTACCCAAAGTAAAGCAAATGGTATTTTTCTAAAAATTAAAACCAACTGCTTCAGGAGACTGTGCTCTACAACCATCCATAGACAAATATTTAAACCCTAACAAAACCAAGGAGGGAAAATGTACTAACGGTGCTACCTCTCTATAGTATCTAGTACAAGACTGACATATTCCCTCTTAAAGTCAAGGTCATAGAGAATCCAAATCACTTTACATCATCAAAGAACTAAAGCCCAGAGACATTTTGGTGACACAGGTCATTAATTACTGAGCCAGTGCTGTGGAGAAAATGACACTAATAAAAATATGACTATATGAATACATCACAAAGTGTCACACACTGTCCTACGCGCTTCGCCTTTATTAATTCATTTATCTATTCACCATCCTTACTGGGTAGATACTTGTCAACCTCCTCGGCTTACACATAGGGAAGTGAGACGGGGCAGAAGTGGGG